AAGATATCTGACATCAATAATTAGAAAGGAAATGCAAATAAAAGCCACAGAGATGCCACTATACACCTATTCAACTGTCTACAATTAAAAACACTTACTATAGCAAGTATTAGCAAAAATGTGAAGAAAATGGAAACCTCATACATTGCTGGTGGGAATGTAAAATGGTACAACCACTGTGGAAAATAATTTTTTAAAAACTTAAACACAGGGCGCCTGGGTGGCTCAGTTGGTTAAGCGACTGCCTTCGGCTCAGGTCATGATCCTGGAGTCCCGGGATCGAGTCCCGCATCGGGCTCCCTGCTCGGCAGGGAGTCTGCTTCTCCCTCTGACCCTCCTCCCTCTCATGCTCTCTGTCTCTCATTCTCTCTCTCTCAAATAAATAAATAAAATCTTAAAAAAAAAAAAAAAAAAAAAAAAAAAAAAAAACTTAAACACACACTTACCATATGAACCAGCCATCCACTTCCAGGTATTTACCCCAAGAGAAATGGAAGTATGTATCCATACAAAGACTTGTACACACATAGAAGCTTTATTTTTAATAGCCGAAAATTAGAACAAATCAAATGTTCATCAATGGTGAGCAGATAAATTGTGGCATATCCATATAATGGAATACTATTCAGCAATAAAAATGAATTATTGATATACATAACAACATGGATGAATCAAAATAATTATGATGAATGAAAGACGCCAGTTAGAAAAGAGTACTTACCACATGATTCCATTTATATAACATTCTAGAAAATGCAAGCTAATTTTTAGTAACAGAAAGCAGATCTATGATTACTACCCAAAGCAATCTACAGATTTAATACAATCCCTATCAAAATTCCAATAGCATTTTTCACAGAACTAGAACAAACAATCATAAAATTTGTATGAACCACAAAAGACCCTGAATAACCATAGCAATCTTGAAAAAGAAAAACAAAACTGGAGATATCACAATCCCAGAATTCAAGTTATATTACACAGCTGTAGTAATCAAAACAGTATGGTACTGGCACAAAAATAGACACATAGATCAATGGAACAGAATAGAAAGCCTGGAAGCAAACTTAAAATTATATGGTAATTAATCTTCGACAAAGGAAGCAAGAATATGCAATGAGAAAGACAGTCTCTTCAAAAAATGTTGTTGGGAAAACTGGACAACTGCGTGCAAGAGAATGAAACTGGACCACTTTCTTACACCATTTACAAAAGTAAACTCAAAACGGATTAAGGACCTAAATGTGAGACCTAAAACCATAAAAATCCTAGAAGAGAGCACACGCAGTAATTTCTCTGATATTGGCTTTAACAACATCTTTCTAAATATGTCTCCTGAGGCAAGGGGAACAAAAGCAAAAGTAAACTATTGGGACTAATCAAAATAAAAAGCTTCTGCATAGTAAAGGAAACAATCAACAAAACTAAAAGACAACCTGTTGAATGGGAGAAGATATTTGCAAGTGACATATTCAATAAAGGTTTAGTATCCAAAATATATAAAGAATTTATACAACTCAACACCAAAAAACCCCCAAATAATCCAATTTAAAGTGGGCAGAAGACATGAACAGACATTTCTCCAAAGAGGACACACAGAGGCACCTGGGTGGTTCAGTCGATGAAACGTCCACCTTCAGCTCAGGTCACGATCTCAGGGTCCTGGAATCGAGCCCCACATAGGCTCCCTGCTCAGTGGGGAGTCTGCTTCTCCCTCTCCCTCTGCCTCTCCCCCCGCTTGTGCTCTCTCCCAAATAAATAAATAAAATCTTTTTTTTTTTTTTTTTAAAGAAGACCTACAGATGGGGCCAACAGACACAGGAAAAGATGTTCAACATCACTCATCATCAGGAAAATGCAAATCAAAACCACAATGAGATATCAACCTCACATCTGTCAGAATGGCTAAAATAAAAAACACAAACAACAAATTCTAGTGAGGATATGGAGAAATAGGAACCTTAGGCACTGTTGGTGGGAATGCAAACTGATGCAGCCACTGAGGAAGACAGTATGGAGTTCTATAACTCACAAAATTAAAAACAGAACTACTCTATAATCCAGTAATTATACTTCTGGGTATTTAACCAAAGAATACAAAAACACTAATTCAAAGGGATACACGCACCTCTATGTTTATTGCAGCATTATTTATAATAGCCAAATTATGGAAGTAACCTAAGTGTCCATTGATAGATAAATGGATAAAGAAGAGATTCATATATATAAATTATGGAATATTATTCAGCCATAAAAAAGAATGAACTCTTGCCATCTGCAACAACATGGATGGAGCTAGAGAGTACAATGTAAGTGAAGTAAGTCAGTCAGAGAAAGTCAAATACCATATGATTTCACTCATATGTGAAATTTAAGAAACCAAAAATATGAGCAAAGGGAAAAAAAGAGCAAGAAAGAGAGAGACGAATCGAGAAAGAGAGAGACAAATCAAGGAACAGACTCTTAATTCTAGGGAACAAACTGATGGATACCAGAGAGGACAGGGGGTGGGAGGATAGGTGAAATAGGTAAGTGCATCAAAATTTAAAAATTAAAAACTTCTGGTCTTCAGAGATAGAACAGAATGAAGACAAACCACAACCTGGGAGAAATTTGCTGAACACCTATCTGAGAGAAAGGACTTTTTCCAGAATATATAACATACTCTTAAAACTCAATATATGTATCCAATTAAAAAATGGATTTGGGGGTGCCAGGGTGGCTCAGTCTGTTGAGTGTCCGACTCTTGATTTTGGCTCAGGTTATGGTTTCAGGCTTGTGGGATTGAGCCCTGAGTCAGGCTCCATGCTTCGCGGGGAGTCTGCTTGAGATTCTCTCTCTCTATCTCCTTCAGCCTCTCTCCCCACCACACTCACTCACTCTCTCTCTCTTTGTCTAAGATAAATAAATAAATCTTCAAAAAAAGAAAAGGAAAAGAAAAAATGGATTTGAAGGACACATCATTTAAAAAGGTATCTGGTACATGGGGTGCCTGGGTGGCTCAGTGGTTAAAGCAGCTGCCTTTGACTCAGGTCATGATCCCAGGGTCCTGGGATTGAGCCCCGCATTGCGCTCCCTGGTCAGCGGGAAGCCTGCTTTCCCTCTCACACTCCCCTTGCTTGTGTTCCCTCTCTCGCTGTCTCTCTCTCTGTCAAATATATAAAGAAAAATCTTTAAAAAAAAAAAAAACTGGTTCTCCTGCAATTAGGAAAAAAAAAGGTATCTGTACATGAGTACACACTCAACATCACGAGCTATTAGAGAAATGCATATTAAAGCCACAATGAGATACAGCCTACATACATACCTATAAGAAAGTTTAAAAAAATTTTTTAACTGAAATATAAGGTGAAGATCTCATACACTGCTGGTTGGAATGCAAAAAGGTACATCCATTTTAAAAACAGGTAAGCAGTTTTTTTGTGTGTTTTTTGTTTGTTTGTTTCTTTTTTTTAGAGAGAGCACACATATGGGTGCATATGAGCCGGGGGTGGGGAGGTGCAGGGAGAGGAATAGGGAGAGAGAGGATCTTAAGCAGGGTCCACATTCAGCGTGGAGCCCAACTGGGAGCTTGATCTCACGACCCTGAGATCATGATCTAAGCCAATATCAAGAGTCAAACACTTAACCGACTGACCCACCCAGGTGCCCCCAGGTAAGCGGTTTCTTAAAAAGTTAAATATACACTTAGCCTATGATGTAGCAGTCCTACCATTAAGTATTTTACCTCCCCCAAAATGTAAACATATGCTCACACAAAGACCTGCATGTGACTGCTTTTAGCAGATTTATTCATAATAGACAAAAAACTAAGAATAGCTCAAATGTCCATTAACTGATGAATGCATAAACAGACTGGTGTATCCATACAACTGGAATACTACCCAGCAATAAAAAGGAATGAGTTGCAGATAGATGCAACAACCTTGATGAATCTCAAAAGGATTATGCTGAAATGTCCACAATAGCCAAACTGTGGAAAGAGCCAAGATGTCCATCGACAGATGAATGGATAAAGAAGATGTGGTCTATATATACAATGGAATATTATGCAGCCATCAAAAGGAATGAGATCTTGCCATTTGCAACGACGTGGATAGAACTGGAGGGTATTATGTTGAGTGAAATAAGTCAAACAGAGAAAGACATGTATCATATGATCTCACTGATATGAGGAATTCTTAATCACAGGAAACAAACTGAGTGTTGTTGGAGTGGGGGGTGGGGTGGGAGGGATGGGGTGACTGGGTGATAAACACTGGGGAGGGTATGTGCTCTGGTAAGCGCTGTGAATTGTGCAAGACTGTTGAATCTCAGATCTGTACCTCTGAAACAAATAATGCAATATATGTTAAGAAAAAAAAAAAAAGAAGAAGGTAGCGGGAGGGGAAGAATGAAGCGGGGGAAATCTGAGGGGTAGACGAACCATGAGAGACGATAGACTCTGAAAAACAAACTGAGGGTTCTAGAGGAGAGGGGGGTGGGAGGATGGGTTAGCCTGGTGGTGGGTATTGAGGAGGGCACATTCTGCATGGAGCACTGGGTGTTGTGCACAAACAATGAATCATGGAACACTTCATCTAAAATTAATGATGTAATGTATGGGGATTAACATAAGAATTAAAAAAAAAGGATTATAAAAAAATAAAAAAAAAAAAGGATTATGCTGAGTGAGAGGAGCCAATCACAAGAGACTACATACTGTATGATTTCATTTATAAGACGTGGTGGAAAAGGCAAAACTATAGGGACAAAAATGAGGCTGGTGGCTGCCAGGGGCTGATGGTGGGAAAAGGGATTGACTGCAAACAAAAATGTTCTATATCTCATATGTGGTGGTGGTTACGTAGCTATATGTTTGCCAAAACTCATCAAACTGTATACTTAAAAAGAGTAAATTTTATTAAATGAAAATTATACCTCAATAAATCTGACTTAAGAAAAGAATAAAACAAACATAAACAACTAAGTGAAAATAAACATAAGAAAAATCAACTTACAGTTTTTCCAATTCAAGGGTCATCATGAGGATGCTCTCAATTGTTGGAAGTGACACCTGTGTTGTTCCCATGTCTCTGAAGGAGAAAGTCCAAACATGAATGATACCAAAGACAAAAATTCTATACTTAAAAAGAGACTTAACGACATGCGATTAGTTAAATTCCGTCAAGCCAGCTCAAGAGTTACCTTGCTATGGACAGTAATTTCAGAGAACTTTTATTGAAGAAATTTATGTGCATCATCAAATTTATCACCTTGGTGATGAACAGTACAATCTCTTGTTACCATTATCCTACTTCTCATTCTCAATTGCATCCACCTCTCTTGATTAATCTTTTTTTTTTTAAATAATGTACATCTTATTCCACTTTGCTTTTTGAGACAAATGGTATTTCTACATACATGATAAATGATATTTCTGCATACATCTGTATGTTCCATATCTATATGTGTTCTTCAATACTGCTTTCTTCCTCTGCAGGCAGTCTTGCCCATATACATTGTTTCTTTGCCAATAATTCTTATTTCAATAACCCAGTTAAAATTTAAATTATGACTTTTTAACCAAAATGCAAGATACTTAATCTTTAAAAAACAGCAGAAATCATCTCATGAGCCATGAGATCGTTGGAATACTTACAAATATTTTAATGCCGGCAATTTAAAAAGATACGAATCTTCAACAGTTGTCAGAGGGTTACGATTGAGAATTCTGAAAAATGCAATGGAATTAAAATTATCTGCATTTTCAGTAACTACCATGAAAGTTTATGTTCATTTTTTTGGTATGGGACTTGAAGGTCAAAAGTAATCATTTTCCGCCTTTGCCTATAAATCTGTAAAGCAGTCTTCCTTTGGGAACTACCCAGGTCTCTGAATGATAAAGTGGGAAAGAGAAAAAACATTTTTTTTTAAGTGGACGGCAAAGAAAAACTATGCCAAAGAACTTTTCAGGTTGAAAACCCCAGAAGTGACTACCCTAGTAGGAAGCCCTGGCTCTGTAGGAAATACCATTTCTAGTGTCCTCCATGATTTAAGGTGTTTTTCTCTTATCTCTAGAAATTTAAAAAATTCCACAGCTTAAACCACGCAGTTAAAGACAAAAAGAGGACCAATTCCTCAGTTTTGGAGCCAAACAATAGGGGCTAAATGTAGGAGGAACTGGTGAAAGCTATACTCCCACCACATGTTCCGTGTATCCTTGTATCACAGCCTTTGTCATGGCATGTAATCACCTGTTTCCTTGTCAGTCTCCTGGACTGTGGGCTCCTTGAGGGCAGGGACCATACTTGATTGTCATTGTCCCTGTGCCTGACACAGTGCTTGCTATTTACTAGTTACTTAATGAATGTTTGTCGAATAAATAAATAACATTTTTTCATTCTTTGACACAAGTTTTTATTCCAAAGTGTTGAATACATTTTCTTCTCAATGCTTTAAATACAAAAAAGGTAAAAGAAATAGGAAGAAAGAGAAGAAAATCTTCCTTGAGGTTGACTCTACTCAAGAATCATTACTGTACTTTTGCCAAATATTAGAAAGATAATCATCACAACCAATACTATTGGACTGTAAGGCATCTGTGATCAGCATTTCACATTTAATCCTCACAATAACCTTATGTGATAGATATGATCATTCCCCCATTTTACAAACGAGGAAACTGAGGTACAGAGAAGTTATGTAATTTGTCCTAGATTGTCAAGAGAGTCCGAAGCAGAGCTGGAATTTGAAATCAGTTTTGACTTCAAAGCCTGTGTTTAACTCGTATGAAGAAAAGGGGATTTAAAAATAGCTGTTACCTTAAACTTAACTTTGAGAGCACTAAATACAGAAATACTTTGTTGGACTTCATCTCTCCATCTGGGAGAGCTTCTCCGAGAAAGACATTTTCTATTTTTATTCCTTTTCTCTAATCATCTCACATGACTAAGTGTTTAATTAGCCAATGGTCATTGAGACTTTATAGATTTAAAAAACCATGTTATAGGCAAATCAGCTAAAATGGGAAAGTGAGGACATCTGAAAATTCATCTCTCATAAAAGCAATAACAACAATGACAAAAACTGGCAAAAATGGTCAGAATTAACTCTGTTAGAAGTTTGGAAAATTTAACCAATGGGCTTGCAGCAACCCAGAGAGCATTCATTAAATAAAAACTAATTTCCGTAAGAACAGTGAGATCTGTTGTTTTAACTTGTCCTAGACCTCTGCTCTCTATCCTGATGGTCACCTTGAAAAATGGCCCACATCCCAGGGGAGCAAAATGGAGCTGGAGTTCCTTAAAGCCTCATTTTCTTTTTTTTCATTTTATTATGTTATGTTAGTCACCATACAATACATCATTGGTTTTTGATGTGGTGATCCACGATCCATTGTTTTCGTATAACACCCAGTGCTCCATGCAGTACGTGCCCTCCTTGATACCCATCACCGGGCTAACCAATCCCCCCTCCCCCCTCCCCTCTAAAACCCTGTTTGTTTCTCAGAGTCCATAGTCTCTCATGGTTCATCTCTCCCTCCAATTCCCCCCCCCCATTTTTCCCTTCCTTCTCCTAATGTCCTCCATGTTATTCCTTATGTTCCACAAATAAGTGAAACCATATGATAATTGACTTTCTCTGCTTGACTTATTTCACTTAGCATAATCTCCTCCACTCCCATCCATGTTGATGTAAAAGTTGGGTATTCATCTTTTCTGATGGCTGAGTAATATTCCATTGTATATATGGACCACATCTTCTTGATCCATTCATCTGTTGAAGGGCATCTCGGCTCTTTCCACAGTTTGGCTATTTTAAAGCCTCATTTTCAAAGAACTGTCAGTGTTTTACCTGTATAGTGGGTTCCCTGGAAAACCTCGCTTGAAAAGCTTGTCTTTGACCTCACTGAGAGCTGCACAATGCTAAAAGCCTCTTCTTCTCAAGGGGCATTTTTAAAAAACAATTACAGGTAAATGTTTTATCCTGGTGGTCGTGTGAGGCAATGGATTAACAGGCGGGACAAAAAAATAGCCTAACCAAAAATCTTAAAAGGAAAAAGCTGAGAAATAAGATGTCCACAGAGACTTTGAAATGCTTCAACATATTCCTGGGAAACCAGAAGACCACAAGACATATTCCTAGGAATGTAGGAAAAAACTTAGCACTAATAAATGGGGTCAGCAAGGTTGCAGGATACAAGATCAATGTGTAAAAATTAGCTGTATTTCTATACACTAGCAATGAGTAGTCCAAAATGAAATTAAGAAAACAATTCCATGTATAACAATATTAAAAAGAATAAAATCCTTAGGAAAAAATTAACCAAAGAAGTACAAGACTACACTGAAAACTATAAAACATTGTTGAAAGACATTAAAGGACATCAAAATAAATGGAAAGATATGCCACGTTCATGGATTAGAAGAAAATATTGTTAAAATGGCACTATGCCCCAAATTGAACTATGGTTTCAGCACATTCCCTATCAAAATCACAGCTGACTTCTTTCCAGAAATTGGCAAGTTAATTCTAAAATTCATACGTCAAATCAAGGGACCCAGAACAGCCAAAACAATCTTGATAAGGAAGAACAAAGTGGAAAGACTCATATGCCCCGGCTTCAAAACCCAATTCGAAGCTACAGTAATCATAGTGGGATACTGGCATAAGAATAGACATATAGGGGCGCCTGGGTGGCTCAGTCGTTAAGCGTCTGCCTTCGGCTCAGGTCATGATCCCAGGGTCCTGGGTTCGAGCCCCGCATCGGGCTCCCTGCTAAGCGGGAAGCCTGTTTCTCCCTTTCCCACTCCCCCTTGCTTGTGTTCCCTCTCTCGCTGTGTCTCTCTGTCAAATAAATAAATAAAATCTTTAAAAAAAAAAAAAAAAGAATAGACATATAAATTGATGGAACAGAACTGACTGTCCAGAAATAAATACTCACATTTATGGTCTATTAATTTTCTTTTTCTTTTTCTCCTAGTCCATCAGCTTTTTGCTATTCACGGGCTTCTAAATGATTTTTAAAAATATACCTTATTTGAAGAGGAAAACTCAAGTATTTTTGCAAAAGCCTTTTGCTGTAGAACAACGGGACAGATTAAAGGTAGCTCAAAAAATGAGGGAACATTTCTTAGCCGTTATTTTTTTTCCTCCAAATTCTTCTATACAGGTCCAGACAGATAGGCTATGTTTCCTTTCTATTAACTGAGGAGACAGAGAAGAACTGAGGACTGAAGCATGTCATCACTGTCCTGAATGTACTGAAATCCTAACAGGTTTAGCTGAAAAAGTGTCCAAAGCAGGCAGTGAAAATAAATTTAAAATAGGACCAACTCCAAACTCTCTATGCTAGAATCCCAAGGCAGGCAGGGAAAACTGGCTCTTTGGAGGAAGGCAGTCCAAGAAATAAGCAGAGTGACCTAGAACCTGTTCCAGTATGTTTGAAGTACTTGGGGATGGAGTAACCCCTTTCCTTTATTCATCTACATAGGTCCATGAGCCAGGAGAACATGACTCCCCATGTGAAGCTCCTCAATACAAGACATCTAATTTCATGACGTAAATCCTTTCTCGGGTGGGAGGGGAGGGCGAAGTCTAAAGGATCTGAAATTGTGGGCCTATATTTTAATCAAAGTTCTGAGAATAGCTTTGAAGAAGAGTTCCTGGCGGTGAGGAACAGCAGAAGAAGCAAGGGCCTCTGGAATCAGGAAGACCTAGGTTTGAATTCTGGCTGTCACATCCTGGTGAAGTGACTGGAGTAAGAAACATCTCGGAGTCTCACCTAGCACCATTTACTTCATAAGGCAATTTGAGGATTAAATGAAAGAGCATGTGCAAAGCACCTCACATAAGGCTGGGCACAGAGTAGGTGCCTAGTAATAATGATGTTACATTTGCACTGGGCAGTAAGCAGAAAGTCTGGGGATGCCCAGAGGTGGCATGGCCAGGAGCTCCAGAAGCATGCGACTGTCATGGGGAAAAGGAGCTCTCTTCCCCAAAAGGTCCTATTCCAGTTGGAAACCAACTCCAGGAGACAATGCACAAAATGCCAGATAGTCATCATTCAGCTCCCAGTCCAAGGGAATGCGGAGTTGCCTTACTTGCAAAGCTCCTAGGCGGTTCTGCCACTTGTTAACAGTGTGAACCTAGGCAAGTGACCCAACGTCTCTGAGTTTCAATTTCCTCATCCCCAAAGTGGAGATAATGATATCTACATTGCAAGAGCTGTTGGAAACATGAAAATGAGACACAGTGTGAGAGAGCATGTATTGAGCATTTTCCATGTGCCAGGCACTATCTGAGAGTGTTGGGCACACTATCTTGCTTGTACAATACGTAAAGGTCCCTAGCCTAGTGCCTGAAACACAGTAAGTGCCTACTAGATATAGGTCATAAAGAAACGTTAAGGGGCAGAGGAAGAACTACTCTGCTTCCAAGAGAAAGAAGATATGTTGTTAGATATGTGGGAAGAAGGGATGCGGCTGGGAGAAGGAAAGTATGGTAGTTGCTGGGTAGGACTATCTCAAACCTTTTGAACTATTACAAATAGAAAATAATAAAACAGCCACCCGAAGTTCCCTCAAAGGACAGACCCGAGTTATTATTTTCATCCTGAATGTTTATGCCTTTCTGAATCGGAGAAGAAGCTGCCAGGATTTCCAGTACACAGCAAAAAGTGATGACGATACCCCGCGGTGTATAAACTTGTGTGTGCACACAGCCATCTAAAGGAAACCGATGCTGGATGACGGGGGAGCATTAGGGTGTCTCTGTGACTGCGGCTCGATTTGCCTTCACAGTGTGGCCATGACTACCTCAATGGTATTCTCAAGAGTGGGGTAAATAATTCAGTAGGGATAAGGCTTAGATTTTCCTCATTCTCTCTTAGTGCTTATGTTCTTGGCACAACACTGATGCACCACAGACAAGCCAGCATGTGGATGTGCTCTACGTGGATCAGGTAGAGCCCTTCTACATTGCAGAGTCCTTCAGTTTCTAAAATCATGGAGCTTGTATTGTTAGAACCGATGAAGTGACTAAAAGAATTTTAAAAAATAAGCCATCAGTCTGGACCTGTGTAGGTGAATGAAGGAGAAGCACTTTAAAGTCAGCAAAAAAAGTATACTTAACATTTAGGATTATCAACCACTGCTGGTTTTCCATAATATATGTCATTCCTGATTTCATCTGAAAGAGATATGATTATTACTACCATTCAAAAAGTGGTACCTTATTAAAACAAAATGTAACACAAAACCCCGAAAGTGCTACCTTATTAATAAGCTCTTGGAACGTCTTTGAGGTGGATTTCAGATTTTTGTTTGGCCAGCACACCAGAGGACAGGCTCATTGGGTTTCTCCACCAAGAGGTATAACGTCTCCAACTCACCACCTTTACTAAGCACTCTGTAACACCAAGAGTCTCTTACGAGAGTCTGAATTTCATTATAGTTAGGTGGGAAACGTAGGAAAAAACTGGGTGGAATCAGTTGATAAAAATTCATGGATTCACTGAAAAACATTCACCGAGTGCCATGCCCACTCAAAATAGACTTTACCACACTGCTAACTAGTTCACTCTGTGTTTATCAATAACTTAGAGGCTTCATTCAAGAAACTTACTGAGTTATAATTATCTGAAACCCAGGGGTAAATCAAGGATCTTGTGGGGCCTGAACCTCATCTACTTTGGGAAATCCTGTCTAATAAAAACATGCAAAATTATGAATACAAAAAATTGCTAGGACCCTCTCCCAAGACCCTGGAAGGGGCCTGTGTAAGCAAGGAGTCCTGAGGCGTAAGTTCAAGATAAATCCACCTCAGCTGGGGCCTCTAAGTTTTACAAACTAAGCTAATGCCAGAGAAAGTATCGTTTCCACTTACAAACACCCCAGTAATATGTCACATAGGAAATAACATGACTTAATTCAAGGGGTAGCACCTTCCCTTGGCAACTTGCCTTTGAAAAGAGATGCAATAAAGTCCCTGTCTCACTATGGCAAACATTTCCTGAAGCAGACGAGCTTTGTCTCTTAGACAAATGTGGCTCCCAACAAAGAAGGAGCCTCGCCCCCAATACACACTTACTATACTGGGATTTCTTTCGGAAGGAGCCGTGAATTCGTTTCGGTAGTGCAGCTCTATTCAAATCATGTGACATGGGTATGAATTTATTTTCAACGCCAGCTAGCTCTGGTTCTTTAATTACCTTTTGCTGTCATTTAAGATGCACGCAGAAAGTCAACACAAACAAGTTGTTGCCTCATCCATTACGAATCTTTCCTATCCCGCAACCCATTGCCTACTTTGTCGCCCCCCCACCTTGGGACCCTGCTGAACAGATGCCCGCAGGACTCCTGTGGGCCTTCCCCTCAACACCCATCTTCCTCCTCCTGGCATGAGAGTTCCTTGGAGCCGTCCCTGTCCTGTTCTTCTTTGCACCCCCAGCATTTAGTACAGTGTCAACACATGGTGGGCACGGCACTCGGTGAATGTTTTTCAGTGAATCCATGAATTTTTATCAACTGATTCCACCCAGTTTTTTCCTACGTTTCCCACCTAACTATAATGAAATTCAGACTCTCGTAAGAGACTCTTGGTGTTACAGAGTGCTTAGTAAAGGTGGTGAGTCTGAGACAGTATACCTCTTGGTGGAGAAACCCAAAGAGCCTGTTCTCTGGTGTGCTGGCCAAACAAAAAACTGACCCTGAGGACTCCTTCCCCAAGTGAGGCATCAGCAAATTAATGAGAGGAGAGAGGAGGCCGCTGCAGATGGACATCGGCGGCAACAGGTACTCAGCGCCAGACACGCCCTCAACACCTCCATCTATTCTAAAATAAACTGTGTGAAATTGTATTTCTGAACCACGAGACAGGTAAGGTAGTCTTTTCCAAAGGCAGGTTTAGAGGAGGATCTTCACCTTGTGTCTAAAATCCCACTCAGGCCATTGAACATACCCACTTATGACTTGCTATGTCACAGAGAAATCACGGAATTTTCCAGCTGAAAGGGAATAACACGCTTCTTACTGAAGAACAGTCAGGAAAGAAAGCATATGAAATTAGGCTACAGCAATGTATTTTCTTCATGAACGTTTTTCACACTCCAACTTAACATAAACACATCTTTTTCCATACCTCAAAGGTTGCTATTGCCCCCAGATAATTTACTTCAGAGGTATATACTTTTTGCTCTGGGTGACTGCGGAGAGAGGGGTCTTGTGGTAAGTTTTCAGGAGTTCTTTCTGCTTTACCATTTAAAAGAAGCTGATGGCTGAGGAAGGACACACACTCTTGCTCCCTGGAGAACTCTGTGCTAAACTTAGTTCTTTGAAGCTTTATTTTGCATGTATTGAAGCAGTTAGGAACTTTGCACATGAGCAGGAATCAAAGTTAAGTTCGAAAGTGGAATTTCAAGGACCACGCACCTATCGGAGAAGCATCATTGTCACGGAGTCCCAGGATAATGCTGATTTGGGTGTTATTTGCTTGGGGTCTTTTACTGCCCACACCAAAGCTGAGTACTAGAGAAAGCAGAGTGTGCCATTTATGAGACAGACAAGTCTCTTGGCCTCTTTGTACCTTAGTTTCCTCATTTGAAAAAATGAATGGATTTTAAGACATACTTTTCAGAGTTCATACTAGGCTTATTACACCCACCGAACCAATAACTGGATGATGTTTTTACACATAGTTATTTTTTCTTACATGTATTCATTTTCTATTTCACTTACAATTTGTGTAAAAACTGCATTCCATGCCAGGCCTGAAATGTTCCAAAGCTCAGTTCTGTGAGTAAATTGCAACCAAGATTTCTAAAAAAAAAAAAAAAAAAAAAAAGACACAAGCAAAAGAAGAACAAAAGATATTCTTTCAGAACATTTATCCTTTGGCAGTGATTCCAATTTATATATGATGAAACATAACCTCAATACGCTCTCCATACACTGAAGAAATCTCACTATGGAAGATACTTTTGGAAAAAAATTTGCACGAAAGGTTTATACTTTCATGTTTATACATGTGGTGCATTAGATACAAATCAGTCAATGTTCTATAAATACTTGTGTTAAGTAATCTTTATTTCTCTAGAAAAATGTTTCACAACATCAGCATTATTGACATCTATGGTTGGATCGTCTCTGTTAGGAGGGGCGGTCCTGCGCATTGTGGGGTGTTTAGCAGCCTCTGCCCACTAGATGCCAGTAGTTCATCTACAGTCTGACAACCATAAATGTTTCCAGACACTGCCAAATGTCACCCGGTGGCAAAATCACCCCGGTTGAGAACCACTGCTCTAGAATGATTCAGTCTGATCTATACAAAAGTCTCACACTAATCTTTGCTACAGACAAAAAAGATTTGCTACATAATTTTAGTAGCTTTCTACTAATAAAATTTCAATCATATTTCAAAATGATTATAACAAAGAGGCTTACAATTAAGTTTAACAAAAATTCCAAGTATAATGAAATTATATTTGTAACTTACATAAACTGCAAAAAAGGTAGTGGTTCAAATGTACGTCTTTCAATAGATTGTATTTTATTGCAGGATAAATCTCTAGGAAAAGGAAAAGGAAAATATTGCCTCAATTATCTATTCGATATCTAATTAGTAGGATGATAGTATTGAATAAGTAGCTTTTGCCTAAACTCTGAATCTCAGGAATTGTTTTTTGAACCTTCCAGAGCCCCTAACTCTACTTATTCTGTCCTCACCTCTCTTAAGAGAGTCTCACCTTCAAGATCTTCATAAATAAAATCCACAACTATAGATCTTGATAGATCTTGGAAGTAATCTCTCCTGAGAGCAGAAGAATTGATTAGAGGATCTTTTGTGGTCTCATCAATTTCTAGATTATGAGGTCAAAGTTTTTATCTCCACATACAATTAGAATTTCTTTTTTCAAGATTTATTTATTTATTTCAGAGAAAGAGAGTGAGCGAGCGAGCGAGAGAGAGCACAAGTAGGAGGGGCAGAGGGAGAGGGACAGAGAATCCCAAGCAGACCCTGCACTGAGCACAGAGCCCAGTGCGGGGCTCCATTTGAGGACCCTGAGATCATGACCTGAGCTGAAACCAAGAGTCAGATGCTCAACCAATTGTGCCACCCAGGTGCCCCTATAATTACAATTTCTAATATTAAAAGGGATATTCTCACATTAGCACAACTTCTTGCTTTAGTTCTATTTTTCTAGGCCAATTCAATAGCAGAAGAAATAAAAGATGTCCTTTCATTTAACTTGAAAGGAAATCACTCCTCTAATCAATACATAACTTTGAACTAACTCAGAATTATATTATCATATGAATAGAAATTCATTTTTGGTCATACACTGCCTTAATAGTCCATGAATTTATTAACTGCTTCAGTTGCAGGTAGTGAGACAACAATAAAAACCACATGGTACTGGATTTTTATTTGAAAACACCCATTCTTGATTATAGCTGACCTTCTTACTTCCACTCATCCCAGCTTAGTTCCTCACTTTCCACCTAGTCTTCTGATGGGCATTGCCATATCCAGTCTCTCCCTTTCTAATCCATCCTACACACAGTTACCAGATTAATTCTCCCGAAGTGGTTCTCGAATACCAGCATCCCTTGGGAACTTAATCAAGATGCAAATTCTCAGCCCTACTGTGGACGGAGTAGTCTGTAATCAGTAACTGTGTTCTGACAAGCCCTCCAGGTGACTCTGCTGTAGGCTAAAGTCTGTCCTGGAGCACTGCTGTGATAACCCAGTAGCTTGGCATGTTATCCATGGCCTTCAAAATCCTAGAAGATCTGGCTCCAACCTCCTACTCTACAAGTACCAGATATTCCTGCATTTTGCCTTTCTCCCATTCTCCTTTGCAACCTTATTCTTCCCAAGATGTCTGTCTGATGATACCCAATAGCTCTTCAAGGTCCTGTTCAAACAGCATTGCTCTAATAGCTTCCCTGATCCAACGTGAAGTCTTTTTTCCCTCATCTGTGTTCCAAAAACAACTTAGATCTCTCATTGCCCATATCCATTTCTCCTTCTCCTCCTTCTCCTCCTCCTCCTCCTCCTCCTTCTTTTTAAAAAAATTTTTAAGTAGGCTCCATGCCCAACCGGGGGCTTGAACTCATGATCCCAAGATCAAGAGTCACATGCTCTACCGACTCAGCCAGGCAGGCACCCCAATTTCTTTTTAATATAGTTATTTTTGCATCCCATGTCCACTGAGCATAAACTCCTTGAAACTATGGACTAGTTGTGTTCATCTGCATTGCCTACCATGTTTAAAACTGACACAGGGACCGAAAATAAACTCAAATATTTATAAAATAAACAAATAGCTGGGTAATGAGTAGCAGAAGCAAAATGACTGTTTTAAAAGAAATGTAGTTCTATGACTTTATGGCTTCTTCTGCACCTCTCTGGCACCTTGTCCGCTTAGTGCTTTACACATTATGGTTTGAGCTTCTGTTTATTTTCCTTGTGAGATCATGAGTTCCTACAAGGGTAAGAAGCCTGTCTTAACCATCTGTGAGCCTATGATACTGGGCATAGTGCCTGTCATATTAGCTTTTGATTGACATGTTTTTAAATGAATGAGAATACTTCAGCTAACATGAAGTGACTGGTTTACAAAGTATTTCACAGTAGAAGTAATGAAGGACCTAATCCATTGAGCAGTTTATCTCCTTTGTTTTTTTCCAAACTGTGTTTGTAAGGTTTGGAGTCCAGATGGCAGAGGTATCCAAGAAGACCAATACAAGAGTGGCTGTTTCCTAAGCCTTGGAAGGTTTGATCATTTAAAAGACTATTCTTAATATCATATCCGGCTCTTTTTACCCACTACCCTTAAACCTTCTACATTTACAAGAAGAATCCATTTGCTAAAGAGCATCATTAATAAGGATTCATGACATACACAGCTGTGGATGCCATGGACAAAGAAGAAAAATTGAACCAGGCATCTGGGTGGCTCAGCTGGTTAAGCGTCTGACTACGGCTCAGGTCATGATCCCAGGGTCCTGGGATTGCGTTGTCCCGCATCAGGCTCCCTGCTCAGTGGGGAGTCCTCTCCCCTTGCTCCTCCCCCCTGCTCATGCTCTCTCTCTCACTGTCAAACAAATAAATAAAATCTTTTTAAAAATTTTTAAAAAGAATAAAAATTGAACCTTCATAACAAAGAATATAGTATCCCTGTATGTCTAAATCCATAGAAATACCACGCAAGCATTTCCTCCTTTACAATGAGGCTGGAGAGATTTTATTTTGTAATTTGTGAAGTTAGGGGCATTTCTGATATGTTTATTTAGCGTAAACATTTCTAACTATACCACTTAACCATCATTTTATTTTATTCTTTAAAGATTTTATTTGTTTATTTGTGAGAGAGAGAATGGATGAACGCACAAGCTGAGGTAGCGGCAGGCAGAGGGAGAAGCAGGCTCCCCGCTGAGCAAGGAGCTCGACAGGGACTCGATCTCAGGGTCCTGGGATCATGACCTGAGCCGAAGGCAGATGCTTAACCGACTGAGCCACCCAGGAGCCCCTTATTTTACTTTTTTTAAAAAGATTTTATTTTTCTCAAGTAATCTCTATACCCAATGTGGGTTTTGAACCTACAACCCCGAGATCCAGAGTCGCTTGCTCTACCAACTGAACCAGCCAGGCACCCCTTAACCATCATTTTAGACATCTATTTTTAATATTGGTATAAGAATTCCCACACTGAAATCCTTAATCTGTTCTCTTGGTAACTTAATATGTACTTGATAATACTGCTTACATAATTTACCTGCTTACTTAAATATTTAATATTTAAATATTTAATTTAGCTTAAATTTGAAAAAAATTCTGGGTTAATGGCATTCAAATTAATCTAAGTGGTCTATATTTTCTTGTCCTGTAGGTGATAATTTTTTTTTTGAATCTTTTTTTTTTTTTAAAGATTTTATTTATTTATCTGACACAGAGAGAAAGACAGCGAGAGAGGGAACACAAGCAAGGGGAGTGGGAGAGGGAGAAGCAGGCTTCCTGCGACCCCAGGACCATGACCTGAGCCGAAGCCAGACACTTAACGACTGAGCCACCCAGGCACCCCTGTAGGTGATAATTTGAGGTTAACTTTAATTCCTCTCATTTTACTAAACCAATTTTTAAAACCTTTTCTGTAAAAGCCAGATAGTAAATATTTTGGGCTTTGCAGGCCACATGCCGTTTCTGTTGCATATTCTTCTCTTTCTCTTCTTTTCTCTTTTATAGCCCTTTAAGAATGTAAAAATCATTCTTAACTCATAGGCTGTATAAAGACAGACCATGGGCGGGATTTGATCCATGAGCCATAAACTAAATATAAATGTAAGCAGATGGTATATGAACACTTATGAAACAAGGTTCATATGGGTGTCCATAATTGCTCAGACCTCATTACCCCTTTTGCTCTATAACTATAGGGTCTTTTTCTGTCTATATCTTGTATATAAAATTAAAAAAACTGAAAACACAGAGAAGATATTTAATGCTAGAGATGGGTTGGGGCCCTACAGACTTACAGAACTGTAGAATTTTATTGTTAGAAGAAATTGTCGCGATTATCTAATTTGAACCCCATATTTATTTTATAGATAACTAAAAAGTCATAATAAATGATTAATTAACTTACAAATACTGGAGGGATAGTAGGCCTTCAAATGAGTCCTTATGTAATTCGGTCAAATAATTTTCACTGAGAATTCTGAAAAACGAAAAGGTTATTTTTGCATCAAAATGCAAAATACCTACAACTATTTACTACCTAGGATTAACTTCCATATGGGAGGGGAAACTTGGGAAATGGTGCCCCGTAAATACACTAATTCTTATTTAATTTAGGAGTACTGATCTCTGCTCTGTTTCCATTCAAATCCTTCTTTTCATGTACTCCTTTGTGTCCATCTCTCTTCATCTCTCTCTCCCTCTCTCTCTCTCTCTCTGTCATACACACACACACACCCCTATCTACTCTTTGCACCAAAATGCATATTTAATGCCTACTCTCTGGATCACAAAGTCTCTGCTAGAACCCAGCTCTGGGTGCCAACAACCCTGGCAGAACTGCCATTTCCTCCTCTCTTTTCCCAAATTCTATTCGGAAGCCCCATACACAACTATAGCAGCGTGGCAGAGAAAGCCGTTCGTTTTTTTGCACTCCGACTAAAAAATATTTTTGAGAACTAAAAAAATGTTCATTAATAAATGTTCAGTTTAATAATTATCAAGCAAATACCCATGTAACACCATTCATGTCAAGAAAAAGCCCTGCCTGCATCCCAGAAGCCCCCAGTGTGCCCCTTCCAATCACAACCCTCTCTCTGATTCCCCAGAAGTAACCACTATGCTGACTTTAATAATAATTTCCTTGCTTTTTGTTTTTTTTTATTTTTTTAAAGATTTATTAATTTGAAAGAGAGAGGGAGGGGCAGAGGGAGAGGGAGAGAGAGAATCTCTAGCAGACTCCCCACAGAGTGGGGAGTTGAAATCTCAATTTGGTTACTAATATTTTTATCAGAAATACTTGACCGTATTTAGATTTCATAAAATTTACACTTGAAAAGCTAACATCACATACCCACATTGTTGCAAACATATTTAAACATTTTCTAATAACTGTTGAGTATCAGTTTTTTAATTTAAATTTTAAAATAATTGAAATTAACTAAATTCAAAATTCAGCTCCTCAGTCACACTAGCTACTCCCAAGTATTCAGTAGCCACATGTAGCAAGACATGCAATACTAGGCATTGAAATGAACCAACCTCAGCTACATGCAACAATATATTGAATTTACAAGATAATGTTGACTGAAAGAAGCAACATAGAAAATAATACATATGATTCCATTTATATAGAGTTAGAGTTCAAGAAGAGGCAAAACTAACTTATGTTGTTTACAGCTGCCCTATGATAGATAAAACTACATTTAAAAAGAGAGGAAATTAGGGGTGCCTGGGTGGCTCAATTGGTTAAGCATCCAACTCATGACTTGGGCTCAGGTCATGATCTCAGGGTCGTGGGACAGGGCTCTTTGTAATTGAACTCTAACTCTATATAAATGGAATCATATTATATGTATTATTTTCTATGTTGCTTCTTTCATTCAACATTATCTTGTAAATTCATTATATTGTTGCATGTAGCTGAGGTTGGTTCATTTCAATGCCTAGTATTGCATGTCTTGCTACATGTGGCTACTGAATACTTGGGAGTAGCTAGTGTGACTGAGGAGCTGAATTTTGAATTTAGTTAATTTCAATTATTTTAAAATTTAAATTAAAAAACTGATACTCAACAGTTATTAGAAAAAGTTTAAATATGTTTGCAACAATGTGGGTATGTGATGTTAGCTTTTCAAGTGTAAATTTTATGAAATCTAAATACGGTCAAGTATTTCTGATAAAAAAATTAGTAACCAAATTGAGATTTCAGAGTCAGTATGGGAAAAAGAACATAAACTCTGTCATTAACAATTTTTATACTGAATACATGTAGAAATGATAATAGTTTGGATATTTTGAAGACAGTTGAAATGTAGACTACCTTATTAATAATGTATATAATGATTACACATTGAAATGATAATATTTTGGAGATAAGAGCTAAACAAAATACATTAACATTTATGTCATCTCTTTTTACTTTTAATTTTTAAGTGGCCACCAGAAAATTTGAGATGACTTGTGTGGCTTACATTATATTTCAAATGAATAGTATTCCATTTTAAGACGATACCACACTTTATTTATTCATTCTACTGTTGGTGGATACTAGATTTTTCTAGTTTTTAGTTATTACAAACAGTGCTGCTTTGAACGTTCTTGTACTTGTGCCTAAGTTTCTCTAGGATTTAATAGGGGTACAAAATTATTTTCCTAAGAGGTTGTGCTATTTCAAGTTGGCAGATTGAAATATGCCAAGTCTCTACGCTTCCAACCTCCACCAAAATCCCTAAGAATGATAGAAAAGATAAATTTAAAAATCCACAGCCTCAGCTCAAAGCCACGGGAGTAACTCCACAAACACTCCCCTCCTAGAAATGCCCTGGAGCGACGACAGGGTGGTTACAGCTAACCATGGGTCATGCAGGAGGGCCAGCGACGGCACAGCAACCCCGCATCCTTCCTCCTTGGGCCAGGCAACAAAGGGTGTCTTCCTCCAGCTTGGAGCAGTTGGTGTTAGGAAGGGGGCAGGGCCCCAGAACCCTGGAGGCAGGGAAGGAAGGCCTTCTCTGACTCGCCACTAGAAGTCACCTCCCACCTTGTCCTTAATTCTTAGGGGAATCCACCACAGAAAAACAAGCCCCAGCAGCTCATTCCACCTCTTCCCTAGTGCCAGAAAACAGAAGCGGTAGAATCTCAACTACAAAGATAAATTGCACTCAGGAATGACCAAACAGTGTGAGAAAGCCAACTCCATTAAGGACGGAAAAGAAAAACAAACGTAAGAGCTCAAAGCCAACGAATCAAAGTTAACGGGGAAAGCCCAAGGGGATTTTAGAACAGCATAATTAATATCCTCAGACAGGTGTAAACAGTACATCAACTCAAGATTATATGAATGAAAAGTGTTATCATTAATAAAAAACTCAGTCTATGAGCAGCAGAAATGGTAGTTGAATAATTAGAAAACAGAGCTCTGGCTGACGATTTCTTATCAGTACTTGAAATTATATCTATTTATTCTATTTACATATTTGTTTTTATATTATATATTTGTAAACCCCTCGAGAACTGGGATATTTGGTCAATTTTATTCTTGAGCCTCTATCCCAGGCATGTAAAAACAGTTCCTGGTATATAGTAGATGCTCCATAAATATTTGTTGAATGAATTCAAAAAGTGACAGGTATCAATATGCAAACATACTGCCTTTATTTAAAACAAAGTATCCATTTATTATCACAGGTGAGGATAAGTACAACTTAATAATAAATAATAATAATGTCTTTATAATAATAATGATAAATTATAACAATTTATAATCATAATAAATAAATAATAAATGTCTTTCTCCACCTCCACCCCTTAATTTGTGACTCAATCTCAATCTTTTGAGACAAGAACCTTTTGAGAGTTTCATAAAAGCTATGGACCTTTTCCCTAGAAAACCACACTTTCTTGAATATGTGCAAAGGTGTGCACGTGATTTCAATTTATGAATCATCCCTTTTGGGCACAGGTCTGTGAGGAGAATGGATTGAATTCGGAGGAGGGCCAAACTTGGGTGGATAATAAAATGATATATCACATATTTGTTGTAGATATCTCAAAATATCATTTATTCTCATCACTACCTTGAATTGTTATTATACCTACCACTATATCTTGTTATTTAATGTGTGAACAGAAGCAGGTTTATTGCTATATCACTAATCTTTTTTAAAAAATATTTTGAAAACTGTATTTCAACATAATTTCCTTTTACTATACATTTTAAATTATTATACATAGATAAACATTATCCCAAGAACACAGTCCTCTGCAGGTCATCAAATAGATATATAGAAAAAAAGGTTAAAAATCCTGCCCCAGGGGACCAGTGATCCATAGTTAGGAACCTCTGCCTCAAGCTGAGTTAGAAATCTGCAAATCTTACTAGATTCATGTTCTAGTATATAAACTCCCAAACACATGCTTTTTAAAAATTAATTTTTAAATTTCTATTTACTTTCTAAAAATATGTTTTATATATATGTATTCACATGGCTCAAAATTCCAAAGGTATATAGTACACAATTCAAAGTTTTTCTGCTACTCCTGTCCCTCAGCCTACCCATCCCCCTCCACTCCCTAAAGAAAAGTAACGTGCCAAATGACTTTCAGTTTTCTTACAAGTGTGGGAAATAAAATCTCCAAGTCAGACACTATCATGGGGAAATACAAACTATAAATAGTATTTAAGAAATTCATAAAATAAAAACATTTTGCTTGGTTCTAGCATTTCTCCAATAAGATAACAAACTAAGGGTGGGGGGTCTACTTTAGTGGGATCATAACCCCTATTTTTAGATTACTATGACTACTATGTCTTTTATTACTAATTCAGAAGTCATTTATGACTTATCTACTCAAGTTGAACTAATGATACGATACACAAGCTGTCATGAAAAATGCCAGTTAATTGCTTTGAGTGTACTATTTTTTCCAAAATCATTTCTATCTACATTGACTTTTTCTACAAATCAATTAAAAAAAAGATAACAAAAAGTTGGCAAAGGACAGAAAATTCAGATAAGAAATACAAATGTTCAGTAAACAAAGAGAGACATTTAAATTTACAAGTCATTTACAAGAAAACTTCAAATTCAGATGAGACCCCTTTTATTCACCCATCAGATCAGCCAAGAAATGGAGAATATCCAGTGGTGGAGGGGTGTGAGGAGGTGAATGCTGTCATGGTCTATGGGTTGGGGTGTATACAAGTCGGCACAACTTTTTCGAGGGCAATTAAAATTGTACATCTACATAGTCTTCATCCCAACAATTCCATTTCTAGATCTCTAATCTACAGAAATCCCTGCCCGTGTACACAAAGATGCATGGATGAGGTGGTTCACTGCAGCAATGCATGTGACAAGAAAACCGGACACAGTCTAAACATCCATCCACAGGGGAATTATTAAATTATAATACATTCATACTACGGAATATTACGCAGGAGTTTACGTGAATGGGGTAACCCCCTATGTACTAGAAGAAAAGAAATCTAAGACCTACCATGAAGCAAAAGAATGGAGTTGTAGGATGTTACCATTTATGTAAAAGAAAAAAAAGAAAGAAAGAAAATCACACAACAAACCTATTTTGTTGTCTATAAATATGTATGTAGACAAATGCATGGATAAAGGTCTGGAAGGATATATATGATACCCAGAGTAGTGGCTATCGCAGCGGTGGGGGATCAGAACACAAGGAGGATGTTCACTATATCACAATATTCTTTTATTTTTATACATTGAGAATATAATCATGTATTCCTTGTATAATAGAATATAAGTTTAGATTGACTCTAATTTTAAAGAGAGCCTGCCAAATTTAATTTTTAAAATAAACACTGAAGTGCAATCAATAGAGGTTGAATTGGGATATGGAGGGGGAAATACCTTTCCTCAGAGCTACTGACTTCAAAATTCTGGACCAAGAAGGATCTTAGAATGCAGTTCAGTTTTTTGTATTTGTATTTGGAGAGAATATACTCACAGTTTCTCAGTCCAACGGTATGCCTTCCATATATTTTTATCGATCTCAGAAATAGAATTTCCTTTGAAATTTCTGTGAAGAAACACAGTTCAGATCCTTGAATAGGTAGGAAAAGAATGAACAGAATAAGTCGAAGAAGCATTGGCAACCTTGTGGGCAATATTCAAATGCAGAAAATACCAGCGGTCTAATTTCCACAGTTATCAGCATCCCAGTTTGCGCAATTAATGAAGAGATGAGGTGGGACTGCTGTGCGCAAACAAGGCATCTCCCTAGAACCTGAACTTCCTATCTTGGACAGATATTGCCAGTGAATTACTTTGACTATGAGCGTTTTTTCCAAAATCACTTATGTGTCCAAAATGGCTCCTTCGTAAATCAGTGAGAAAATAAGAATTCAACAGAAACATGGCAAAAATGTATCACTTATCAGCAAACAAAGGTAAAGAAATCCTAAGCCAGGCAACACCAAAGCTTTGGCTCAGTGCCCTCTGTTGAAACCTCTTCAGCTGTTCGGATAAAGGAAGTTAGAAATTAGAGGAACTAATATGGAGAGATTTCTTAGACGCACTGCATAAGGAAAAGCAACAAATCACTGAGCAAGGAATAGAAAGTATTACCTCATTAGGGGAAAAATTGCAAAGGAAAGCGATGGGAAGGAAGGACACACAGCGAAATGGTAACAGGAGTTATCTTACAGGTGGTAGGGAGGGTGGGGTGGGATTTTTACATTTTATCCTATATGCTTGTGCCATTTAAAAACAAAGAAACAAAACAAACAAACAAAAAACCCCAGTGAGAATATATCCACGAATTGCATGTGTTTAAAAGAAGCCACGAAATGTCTGAGACTCCATTTCATCCACTAACTCTATGTATTTTTACCTTTAGCTTTACTCAGCAACAACTTACCTATTCAGTTTATATACACATTTTTTCTAGGAGTTAGAAACAAGGCAACACAGGTACCCATCTGCCCATCTGCCTAGTGGTCATTTCCAGGAACCAGAAGCCTTCTGGTTGCTTTATGTTCCCTGAGAAAAGATGCCCCAAACTGAACTTATCTCCCTCAAACTGGCTCTCCTTCCCAACTGCTGTGTTTCCACCTGTTCTTCCGCCATTGTACTGCTCATACAGGACAGAAACTTCAAGAGTCATGTTTCATTTTTCTCTTTCCTGGACACACCCTACCCGCTACTCTCATCAGTTACTCAGTCTTGCCGCTTCTTCCTTTGTGGTGCTCTCAGGATTTTCTTTCTACTCCTATCACAGCCACTCTGATCCGGCCCCTTGTCATTTTACTCCCAGCTTTTGCTAGAGCCTTCTATCTGGTCTCCCTAGATCAAGCTTCCCTCTCTAGATCGCTCTACATAGGGAATCAAAAACAATCCTCTTGTTTTAATGGTATTTATCTCTTGTGGGAAAACTTTCAGTGACTCTCTATATCTCCGAGTGTAACTTTCAAACCCCTCTAGCTGATAGTTAAGGGTTTTCATAATCATATCTTTCACAGCGTCCTAAACTAATTCTTAATTCCTGATCAGTCTTGCAGCACTGACTTTGCCTAGACTATACTCCCTACTTTTGCTCTGTTTAACAAATCATAGCCACTCTCTAAGTCTCAGCTAAAGTTTTAGCTTATCCATGCAGCTCTCCCACACCTCCACACTCTATTGATTACAGATTCTGGTGAATTACAGCACCTATGGTCTGTACTTAATCATAGGTCACCTCCCTTTCTATGCCTGTTTCCTTTCGTCCCACTTATCATTTCACGTTCTAAAGACAATGTCATACTCCCATGGATCCCACAGTACTGAGTCCTGGGCTGGGCACAAAATAGGTGCTATATATAGAAGGCCGGGGAACAAAGATGAGTTCTGAACATAACTGAGGAGTCAAATTATAATAGATAACACTCATATATATGCTAGGCACCAATGTAAGTGCTTTATAAGTATTAACTCATCTAAATGTCACAATAAGCCCATGAGATGGTAACTACCATAATCCCCATTTTCCGGAAAAGGAAAATGAATCAAAAGGTAGTAAGTGACAGACCTCGGTTCAAACCCAGGCGGTCTAGTTCCAGAATCTCTACTCTTAACCCCTTTGTTCTATCACCACCAACGAGATGGAGAGAAGGACATGTTGCTATAAAGAGGATGGAGCAAAAGTGGGAGAGTAGAGGTTAAGGAATGAAATGATGGGGATAAAACACTGGGTTAGAGAAAGGAATAAGGACAATGGCAAGCAAAAGATTGGAGAAGGGGGAACAATAGCAAAGAGCAAAACAAAGATAAGGGACAGTTGACAAAGAAAAGGTAAAAACAGAAAGTCAACATGGGTTGGGAAGATAAGGAAGGCCCAGGAAGGCCTCGAAGAAAAGGCTGCCATGGCAAGCAGGAGGCAGAGAACAAATGAGGAAAGACAATTCTTACAAGATGGTGAAGGTGCCGCTGTAGGTGTTGGGCTCTGGCACAAGCACTCTGTGGAGCCTCTGCTTTGGGCTGAAACCAGTACACGACAGCGTCTCATTTTTGCAGGTACAGAGCTCACATATGTTGATGTTCGTGGTAGTGTTCTCTTCTGGTGGCTCAGTTAAAGTTGTGTATGCCTTTTCTGGGGTATATTTTACAAAATGCAGCAATGAACGCAGGGTCGTTGGGGGAAAAACTGTCTCAGATGACACTGGTTGCGGACGTACAGTAATTTTCAGGTCCATGGGTGGAACAGTGACTTTAGTCAGGTTTGGACGTTGACTCTGAACCTGTTCTGGATGGGCAAGTGTCACCTCAAGGTCCTTTGGAGGAGTTGTAGTCTGCTGCAGGGTTGTAGACTGTTTAACCTCTGTAGTAGATTCTGGAGTTATGGTAAGCTCCAGGTCCAAAGGTTGAACTGTCACATTTGGTGACCACCGATGCTGAGCTTGATCCTGACGTGGTGTTGGAACTGCTGCCTCCTGATATACGGGAGGTTGAGATACAAGTTCCTTAGGCGGCTCTGGATACTGATGTGGGGTCTCGTGCATGGCTGGAGAAGGTTCAACCTCAGTAGTAGATTCTGGACTTATGGTAAGTTCCAGGTCCAAAGGTTTAACTGTGACTTTATTTAAGGTTGGATGGTGAGACTGAACCTGCTCTGAATGTGCAAGTGTCACCTCAAGGTCTTTTGGAGGAGATGTAGTCTTTTTTAGGGTTGTAAAATGTTCAACTTCTGTAGTGGGTTCTGGACTTACAGTAAGCTCCAGGTCCAAAGGTTGAACTGTTACATTGGGTGATGATGGATGCTGAGCTTGATCTTGAACTGGTGTCTGAACAATCTCCTCCTGATATACTGGAGATTGAGCTACAACAACCTCCTTAGGTGGCTCTGGAGCCTGAATTGGGGTCCCCTGCGTAGGTAGAGAAAGTTCAGTCTCCTTAGTAAATTCTGGAGTTATGGTAAGCCCCAGGTCCAAAGGTTGAACTGTGACTTCAGCCAAAGTTGGATGCTGAGTCTGAACCTGCTCTAGGTGTGCCAATGTCACTTCGAGGTCCTTTGGAGGAGCTACAGTTTTCTTCAGGGCTGTAGAATGTTCAACCTCCGTAGTGGGTTCTGGAGTTACGGTAAGCTCCAGGTCTAAAGGCTGAACTGTGACTTCAGTCAAATTTGGTTGCTGAGCCTGAACGTGCTCTGGATGTGAACGTGTCACCTTGGGGTCCTCTGGAAGAGACAGAGTCTGCTGCAGGGCCATGGAATGCTCAGCCTCTGTAGTAGGTTCTGGAGTTACAGTAAGCTCCAGGTCAACAGGTTTAACAGTGGCACTGGGCAAGTTTGAAGGCTGAGCTTGCTCTTGTCCTAGAGGTGGAACTATCACCTCATGACGGACTGGAGGTTCTGCTACAACCTCCTTACGTGGTTCTGGAGGCTGAGCTGGAGCCTCCTGCTGGGTTGGAGAAGGTTCTACCTCCTTAAGGGGCTCTAGAGGTAGAGATGGGGCTTCTTGCAGGACTGGAGAGGATTCTACCTTCTCAGGAGACTGTGGAAGCTGAGAATGGGTCTCTTGAGAGATTGGAAAAGGTTCTACTTTGCCTGGGAGTTCTAGAGGCTGAGCTGGGGTTTCCTGCTGGGCTGGAGATGGTTCTACCTTCTGAGGGGGCTCTGAAGGCTGAGCTGGGACCTCTGGCTGTGTGGGAGAAGATTCCACCTCCTTAGGGGGCTCAGGAGATATAGCTGGGGCCTGCTGGGGGACAGGGGACTGAGCTGGGGCCTCCTGCTGTGTGGGAGAAAGTTCCACCTCCTTAGGGGGTTCAGGAGACATAGCTGGGTCCTGCTGGGGGACAGGGGACTGAGCTGGGGCCTCCTGCTGGGCTGTAGAAGATTCAACCTCCTTAGCCAGCTCTGGAGTTACGGTAAGTTCCACATCCGCAGATTTATGTGTAACACTGGAAAACCTTAAATAAGTTGGATAGTGGCTTATAGGTTGACTTATCACCTCATCACTTACTGAAGTTTGAAATAGATACTCCATAGGAAACTCTGGAACTAGAGTTGGGGCCTCCTGTTGGACTGGACTAGGTCCAGCCTCCTCGGGGCGCTCTGCAGGCCAAGCCGGGGCTTCTGGCTGGCCTGGGGTGGGGCCAGCCTCGTCGGGGCGCTCTGTTGGCCAAGCCGGGGCCTCCGGCAGGGCTGGGGTGGGCCCAGCCTCCTCGGGGAGCTCTAGTGGCTGAACCGGGGCCTCTACCTGGACTGGAGTGGGCCCAGCCTCCTCGGGATGCTCTGCTGGCCGAGCCGGCGCCTCCGGCTGGACTGGGGTGGGCCCAGCCTCCTCGGGGAGCTCTAGTGGCTGAACTGGGGCCTCTAGCTGGACTGGAGTGGGCCCAGCCTCCTCGGGGTGCTCTGCTGGCCGAGCCGGCACCTCCAGCTGGACTTGGGTGGACCCAGCCTCCTCGGGGCGCTCTACAGGCTGAGCTGGGGCCTCCTGCTGGATTGGAGAAGCCTGAGCCTCCTCGGTGCGCTCTGGAGGCTGAGTTAGAGTTAAAGTAAGTACCAGATCCACAGGTTTAACAGTGACGTTGGAGAAGTTTGGCCACTGAGCTTCATTCTTACTTAAAGATGGCACATTCACCTCATGTGCTATTGGTTGAGGTACCATCTCCTTAGATGGCTCTGGAGGTTGAGCTGGGGACTCCTGAGGGATCGAACGTTCTACTTCCTCAGCGGCCTCTGTGGGTTGAGCTGAGGCTTTCTGTTCTAGTAAAGAAAGTTTGATTTCTTCAGGGGTACTTGAAGGCTCAGCCAGGGCCTCCTGTGGGTTTACACCTTCCTTAAGGATCTCTGGAGGCGGAGATGGAGCCCCCTGCTGAATTGGAGATGTTTCTATCTCCTCAGGGGGGTCTGAATGTTGGGCCTGGGCCTCCACCTGAGGCCAAAAAGATTCAGCTTCCTCAGGCAACTCTAAATGATTTGGGGTCTCCTGCAGGAGTGGAGGAATTTCAACCTCCTCAGGGAGCTTTGGAGGTTGATCTGATCCCCCTGGGAAATCCATTGGTACATTCACCTCAGGATATAGGATATCCATACTGGAATCTGAATAACCATCCTGCAACTGTTGTTGTAGGTGGTCTTTATTTGCAAATTGGTTTGGAGTTCCAACAACTTTGGCAAGCCTTTGATGCTGAGCTAGATCTTTCTCCAGGTTTGGGGGTGAAACAATAAACTTCGTTGGCTTTGAACTGTGACTATCCAGAGGTGGAACAAGTATTTCAAATGACTGGTGATCTTCAGCCTGATCTAGACCTACAGTTTTAATCGTACTTTGGAGTCGAGGAGGCGGAGCTATGGTCTGATTCTGATCCCAACCTAGCCTTGGAACCACCTCTGGGAGTCTTTCCAGCCGAGTTAGCCTGTCAGTCAGATCCTGATCTGCCTCTGGGGGCAGCTTACCAACTGAATCCGTGTCCGGGAATGGAACCAAAGTCTCAGTCAACTCCTTAGGCAGAGACAATCGGGCTGGAGCAGAGGACCCCTCTCCTGGGGGTGTAAGTGCCTGGAGCGATTCGGGCGGGAATTGAGAGGACTGTGAAGACCAGGGCTCGGTGGGCCCCAGGAGGTCGGCGGTCAGCTGGGCATGGTCCAGGGCCCACTCCGGAGGCTGAGCTGCCTGCACCATCAGCCACAATAATTGCCACGTGCTCAGCAGCAGTGGGGCCCAGAGGCGCAGCCAGGACATGACACCCGGATGCTCTGGGGCGCAGCGACCCATACTAATGAATCAGCACCCGCCGAATGGGAGCCGAACCGTTATGGCAGCCCCGTGACGGGCGCACCATTAAGAACTGCACGCCCCTCCCCCGCCTACATTCCACCCTTTATTACGCTACCTTTATTAGCTCAGCGCCGAGGGGCACCGCGCCCCTCGGAGCAAGCCCCTTTTCCAGAATCACCAGGGCCCAAGCCTCCCTTCCCCCTACGAAGGGCACAACCACCTCCTGGGGCTCACAGCGAGGCAGGATGGCCCCGGACTCCAGCAGCTCTGGGGTGGAAGGGGGCAGGGGGCAGTTTCCCAAGGACGCCACAGGACCCGGCATCCCGGGAAATTAAAAAACGCTAGTCCAATTCTGGCGGTTTGAACTCGGCCTCTTCAAAGCTTAAATCCGAGAGACATTCTTCCTCCCCTCGGCCATCCTGCTTCCAAGAAAAGTAGCTGACCTGCAGAATAAGTACCAGGCAGGGCAGTGGGGAAGGGAACACATTTTACAGTTACTTATTCTAAAATGTTGCCATTTCCTCTAAATTCTCAATACGCATGTCCGAGCATTAAGTCGCCACTCTGTTAGGAGGCTTCCTACCACTGAATCAGTGATGTCTCCAAAATTTCTGTAGGAGGGGTTTCGGGTGGAGGTTGAGGGGGCAGGTGAGCATTTCATTCTGGGAATGAGGGTCTGAAACCAAGAGAATAGCCCTCTATTTACGCTGGCATGGGAAAACCTCCCCCATCCCACCTTGATTCAACACAGCCGTCAGTCTAGAAAAAGTAACACCACCACTTTTTAGAGGTCTGACCCTGAGTGTGCACATGGAGAAGGCACTTAGGATGTTCAAGTTAGCATGTTAAACAATTTTCTTGAAATACTGTAACTAGCCACGTAGTTTGCAACAGTTTACATCCTTCACAGCCCTTTTCACAATCTGTTTTATTTGAGTCCTTGTTTATGGTCTGGCACTAGCTCTAGCACGCAAACCCTAAGAGAGAAGGGTTTTATCTTATTCCCAGCGTCTAGCACATAGTAATGGTTTTTAAATGGAACGGATTCCAAGACTGGCCTTATTTAGGAATGGATCTGAGTTCCAATCAGGTTTCTGAAAACTTTAGCGTCAATACGGAATCTCTTTCACGTTTCACAGGAAGCTAGACTTCTTAAAGTGTAAACTTGGATAAGTCTGAAGTTTCCTTGACTGGCTTGATTTAAATTGAATTAAAATAATTCTTTTGCACACAAAAAAAACTTCAAATACTTTTTCAGAAAGTAACCATCTTTCCTTTCTCCACTCTTCCCTTCAAAACAAACAAACTTTGCAACTTTGGAGTGAATTAAATAATCAGAAATCTAGCCCCAAATTAAGTTTTCAATGACATGAAACACATCCTTTTCTCCTTTTTTTTTAAACATTCTATATGCAGTATATTAATATCTTCTTTTAGAAATTACTTTGGCAACTTAATCCCTAATTCAGGGCATTGATGAGTGATTTACAGAAAAGTTCTTCAGCAAAATATTTCATACAAGGTATGTATGAGATGCTGACATCTGGGTAATACACCTTATTTGAAAGGCATAATGGTTTTCAAACACTGTAGCATAATCTCACTTAAGGCCAGAGTTACTCTGTTCCCAAATCCTTGAGATTCTGTTGGAGGGGAGCTCTAAAAGGCTGTGTCCTCTCCTATGTCCACAACAGTAGGAGTATTCTGATGCAATTTGCTCTCCAAATTTGAAATCAGGGGTCAGAGCCAAGGGCCAGGACTTCAGGAAAAGCCCCAGAGATTCTCTGCACTCAAAAGCAGTTTCAGAGTTGTACATTTCCCAAAGGATGATAGAGCTAACTGTACGTGCCCAAGTCTTCCAAATCCTGCCGGTTGCTTTAAAATACGGTTACATTGGCTGTGGAATCCTCGAGCTCTAATCTCCACATACTTGAATTAAATCCTGGAGCTCCTCTTTGGTTCTGGCATCTGTAATCTCTTCACAGGGTCTATATTCCACAGCTATTTTACCACTTTCTGAAATAAAGTTAACAAGTAGCATATCAAAATTTTTCTTGTTCTAAAACTTGCTGTATATAACTGGGATAGCACTTAGTAATTAGACATTCTTTTGATTTTTTTTTTTAATTTTTTTTTTTTTTTTTGAGAGAGAATGAGATAGAGAGAGCATGAGAGGGGGGAGGGTCAGAGGGAGAAGCAGACCCCCCGCTGAGCAGGGAGCCCGATATGGGACTCGATCCCGGGACTCCAGGATCATGACCTGAGCCGAAGGCAGTCGCTTAACCAACTGAGCCACCCAGGCGCCCGACATTCTTTTGATTTTTAAAAACTATTTTATTTATTTAACTGACAGAGAGAGTGCACAAGCAGGGGGAACAGGAGAGGGTGAGGGAGAAGCAAGCAACCTGCTGAGTAGGGAGCCTGATGAGGAGCTCAATCCCAGGACCCTGGGATCATAACCTGAGCCGAAGGCAGACCTTAACCAACTGAGCCACTCAGCTGCCCCATAGACATTCTTTTGATTTCTAAAAGCAGAAAATAAAAGCATCTTCTCAGAAGTTTTCTCATCTCACACTTTAGTTTTTATCATAACTTTTTTTTTTTAAGATTTTATTTATTTATTTGAGAGAGAGAACACGAGCAGGGGGGAGGGGCAGAGGGAGAGGGAGAAGCAGACTCCCCACTGAGCAAGGCAGTCCGACATAGGGCTTCATCCCAGGACCCTGGGATCATGACCTGAGCAGAAGGCAGACGCTTAACCGACTCAGCCACTTAGGCACCACTATCATAACTATCTGTGAAAAAATATATGTGAAGTTATCAACCATGTGGTTAAAAAAACTTCATGATCTCAGAGATAGGAACTAAGGAATAATGACATAGGACGTTAAAACTGTGGAAGCAAAACTGTTCAATCATAGTATGATTAAACAGTAAGATATTAGGGTGCCTGGGTGGCTCAGATGGTTAAGCGTCTGCCTTCGGCTCAGGTCATGATCTCAGGGTCCTGGGATCGAGTCCCGCATCGGGCTCCCTGCTCCTTGGGAGCCTGCTTCTCCCTCTGCCTCTCTCTCTCTCTGTCTCTCATGAATGAATAAATAAAATCTTAAAAAAAAAAAAAAAAACAACAGTAAGATATTAGGTAGGGGTCAATGTAAGTTCAAACCTGGAATAGAGACCACTGGACTATGGCTGATACTTCATATTAGAAACAAGGCAAGTGTCTACTCCCTGAGAACCCAAATCCCACCAGATACAATGAACAATGCTTTGGAGGGGGGTGGGCAGGGCATGCATTTGAACACTTTATTGGCAGAAACAGGCCCGTGTAACTTATAGACAACACAATTTACCTTAGGGCAAACTACAGCTACGAGACTTTTTAGTCCAAGGAATTTTGAATGTGTACAAGGGATACCATAGCATATTATGGAGAGGTCAACAACCCAAACGCTTAGTTTGCTTCTTAAAGGTTGTCATTCAGAATTGACAGCTAATGGAGAGTCTACCTGATGACCAGGGAAGTCAGTCTTCACGGGAAGACTTGCCCAGGCTGAAAACCTGAGACCAATCCACGGTCAACTCTTACAAGCAAATAAGGTCTCTGAAACGTAGCTAGGATTTCTTAGTCTTTAAGACTCAAGGCTCTGAAGCAGGGGAGCAACTGTTTGGGGACTCTCCACTAATTATAAAATTTCCAGAAAAAAAGGCACCTGGGTAGCTCAGTCGGTTGAGTGTCCCACTCTTGATTTCGGCTCAGGTCAGGATCTCAGGATTGTGAGATCAAGCCCTGCATGGGGCACCATGCTGCGTGTGGAGCCTACTTAAGATATTCTCTCTCTCTCTCTCCCTCTCTCTCCCTCTACTCCTCCCCTGTCTCCCTCTTTTATTTAAAATAATAAAATAAAATAAAATAAAATAAAATGAATAAAATAAATTTCCTTTGAGCCTGGATTGATTCTCTCTCTCCCTCTCCCTCTACGCCTCCCCTGCCTCCCTCTTTTATTTTATTTAAAATAAAAGAATATTTAAAAAAAATAAAATTTCCTTTGAGCACAGCCTATAACATTCATACTACTGTAGAACTCAATAGGGAATACAATCAACATCATTCAATAGGATGGCCACTTTCAAGGTTCACAAAAATGTAGCTGATCATTACATAAGAATCATGGTCACCCAATATGTCAGTGCCAGAAACAAAAACTGAAACTGAATTGATTGCAAAAGCATAATCTAATAAATTCTCCAACAGGAAAATAATAATGATAAGAAGTTAACATATTTTGTCTGCTTACCACGTTCCAGAGATAGTTCTAAGCTTTTTATATTCATCATCTCATTTATTCTTGCTATATCTCCATGAGGTAAGCTGAATTATTAACCTTATTTTGCAGATAAAGAAATTGCAGCTTAGAGAGACTAAATACCTTCAAATTTGACTATAAAACCTAAAACTGCATCAGAAATCTAAGAGACAGAGTTAGGATTCAACAACAGATGTCCAAAGCTTACAATCACTATACTACTTTGTGTTATGGGCAATCAATCAAGGAACACTGGATCAAGCACTTTCTACGCGGAGGCAAGTCACTGTATATCTATACCCTGGGGACAATAATATTTACTGTCATTTTTCCTCACAAATACTACAAAGAACAAATTTGAGACTGCTGCTTTGAAAGCATTTGGTGAATAAAAGAATGTGAAGTGTTTTCATCCAACTAACTTCTCAAAATGAGTTTATTTGCTCATGGAAACTGAAGTTGTTTAAGGACAATCAAAAGAAAAGAAAAGAAAAGAAAAGAAAGAAGTAAAGGACAATCAAGAAAGTCTTACCTAAAACCACAATCAACAGTTTCTGGAATGCATCTGACACAGCCTTCTGAATAGCAAGCTTCTGGGTTGTTTTCCTTTTCATCAGAACTGATAATGGCCCTAAATTCAACCAAAACAAATGGATTTAAAATACCTAGCTGAATGATAACTGATTTTTATGTTATGTGTTTAGATATGAAAGTGCATCCATGATTCGTAGATCATTATCTTAGCAACTAAGAGCAGGCACAAGACAAACACTTGGTGGAATGGCTCTGCTGTAGGTATATCCTGGCCGGGCACATTTTTACTGCCCTGATCTACCCCAGAAGTTCCTGAAGTACCAGAAGGGAGATGCAAGCCAAGAAGGTGGCACAAATCTCACATCACTCACAGATTTCAAATGGACAAGTTGAAACTATAATCCTACAGACCCTACCTACTCTCCTGGGCATCAAGGGCTGGAAGAGTGAGAAAGATTAGGTGGTAGCACACATGACCTGGTCTTTTCCTGAGCATCACCCATGGGAACCTACTTCCCTCCATTTGCTAACAGCCCTGCCTCTGCCTTAAAACCCTAAGCCGAAGTGCTACGGACTCTGGAAAAATCAGTACCAATTGGAATACCTTTTCTAGGAATCTATATTTGATTCTTTACACACCAGCCCTTTTATAGGAGGCAAAGGACTGAACATTTGCACAAGGGTTTATTTAAATCTTTAGATGATGATTTTGCTGGGATCATTGAAGGCTACAAGAGATCTGTATTTAAAGGACTATTTTAGCACAAGGCAAATTCTTCTTCTTCTTCTTTTTTTTTTTTTAGCACAAGGCAGATTCTTAACCAAAAATGGGAAAAACATTACTTCCCTCTTCCTAAATTTCTTGGCAGAAAGTCAGTTTTAGAATTGTAAAGCTAAGTTCTTTTAGGTATTGTGTATGATAAAAACCTGTATTGTACGGTAGAAAAGCTCTGCCCAGGGTTTTAGTAGCTTAGCAAGGGGAGGGCTTGATGATATATCTGAAAAGATGAGTTTCAGAAAGAAAGAGAGATTCTACCTCCACTCCACTCCACCCCCACCCCCACCATAAACAGACCTTCTTCCAGCTTCTCCAAAGGCTCCTCGGCCATGCCAACTCTAGGACTCCTGCACTCATAGGACGGCAACACCACCTCTAAAGCACAGAAGAATTTCAGGCTCTGCTTCTCAAGTGGTACCGTAGCATCTTCATTTTCTCTTTCTTCGAGGTCAGAAAGGTCCTGAAGCTGTTAGGATTTTACATTAAAGGTCCTTCCTAGGATCTCAACATAGACTTCAAGATGTTTTGTTATTAGAAATAAAAACTAAACTCCAGTAAACCCAGCTAACAGTTGAGGTCCTATAGCTTCAAAATCAAGTAGGACTTGCAAATGCATTATTAAATACAGACAACTAGTTTTTTTTACTCTATACCCTACAAATACTGGCAAAAATTCTGGACATCACTACCCAAGTCATTGAAAGTAGTATTAATTCTAGGTGGCAGGCCGATGCTCAGGTCCTTCCACTTAGAAGCCTCTCACATCTTCTCCCCACACCCAGTTCTCTCCTCTCTGAAGTCCAGGATTTCAATGTTGAAATGAGTCTGATTAGCCAAAGAAAATCTATAAAGTTTACCTTGATGATCCTTTTTGACCATCCATTGAAACCAAAGTAATAATTTGCCAATTCTTGGCACTGGGAGCTATTTAGGGCAAGGGCCTGATGTTGATCTGCTTTATGTTTGGTGCCCAGACGAACCTAAAGACATAAGAGAGAGACTGAAAAATATCACAACCTGCCACAGAGGCTTATTTTGGATACACCTGAGATTGATCAATACCTATTTCAGAGACTGGCTGTGAAGATTAGAAAGGAAACACCATTGTAAGCAATGAGCTCATAGTAAGCCCTGAATAAATGGTATTCATTATTTTTAAGCTCCAGTACTTTTCTGCATCATTTCCAGGGCTCCTGATTGAATTGGAAGATTTCCCTGACCTCTGGTGGTGAGAGTGATGATGAAAGCCACTAAGGAAGCCCTCCAGAAGCAAATTATGTAGGTGAGCAAAGGAAAGAAATTGTTTTTGTTGTCCCATCCTGTAGCTCGTTCGAGAACATGACCTGAAGAGCCGACAAGATGGACCTGACAGGGAGGTAGGACCTTAACCTGCAGCACCCTCCTCCCCAAGTTACTAACCTGTTAGAACAAGGAATATACATACCTCTAAAAATTTTATAAGCAACTAAACAACTAGAGGTTCATTTGCATTAATAAGCTCCTTTGAGAATGCAAATACTTCCAGTCTAACTTATGCTCTATGGTGAATTTATTAAATGTTCTGTCTTAAATGTCTATTTCAACTTTAAGCAGGGTGTAGTATAGTAATATATTCATAAAGATTCAAATAATGCAAATGAAGTCACAGCACTATTAATTCTTTATTGATTTGTTCATGCACCTTCCTCTATCACTAGTTTATAAGCTCCTTAAGTGCTTGAAGGAACCATCTCTTACTCTTTTCTCATTCCTAAAACCGAGCACATTCTGTTGTTGATTGAGTGAACGAATGAAAGAATGGGTGATAAGAAAATAAAATTACTTTCTCCAGCTGAAGCTGCATGCTGGAAAGAAGAAATGAAGATGAAGTTTTAAATGTTGAGTGCTGCAGGGGAGGCTAATGGCGAGCCATAGTGGAGCTGTTCTGGATATGAAGGAAGCTTCAGAAGGGCCCCGAGCCTCTCTGTCGGAGAAATAGTTGTCACCTTGGGAAAGCTTGCCAGTTCCTGCTGCCAACCATTTTCCTTCATGCTACTGAAAAAAACTCTCTCAAATACCTTAGGCCTTTCCTTGATTTATTTTATTTAAGACATTATTCTTTTTCCTGTATTTATAAAAGGCAAACAACAACAACAAACCCAACCAGGAACTATATGTAGTTGCCAAAGTAGAAAAGAACACATAAGTAAATTGGATAACAATTTTGGAAAGCAGGGGTAATAACCCAAGGTTCTGTGTTAAATAAAAAAAGAGATCTAATATGAATACGCTCTCCTGTCAACTATATACTGACTTGTAGAACATTTCCTTCATCACTCTCAGTGATGGGCTTTATGCTGTGAAATCTCAAAACCTAAATTTATGAAATGATCTTAATGTCCAATGAGAGACAAAAACCTCATTTCTTACAACTGATACAAAGTAATTGTTTCATAATCTATAATATCTGAGTGGCTATGTGAACTTTTCACAGGCTAGAAACAGGCAGACCACAGTTTGCAAACTAAAGAACGTCTGACAGGTCATCATTTCAATCACAGGGAGTGAAGCCAAGACTGAAGAGGGTGTTGAATAAGTAGGCAGTATACCTAGAGTCACATCTGAGCAGAGTTCTCAGATTCAATCAAGGTTAAATCAATAAGGAAAGGCAAATGATAAGAATAGGCAGCCACGTGGGGCGTCTGGGTGGCTCAGTTGGTTAAGCATCTGCCTTCGGCTCGGGTCATGATCCCAGGGTCCTGGGATGGAGCCCCACGTCCGGCTCTCTGCTCGGCGGGGAGTCTCCTTCTCCCTCTCCCTTTGCCTGCCACTCCGCCTACTTGTACACACTCTCTCTGTGTCAAATAAATAAAATCTTAAAAAAAAAAAGAAAAAAAAGAATAGGCAGCCACATCAGTATGAAGTAGCCAGATTAAGAAGCCAGTTAGAGAAGGCTGACAAAGACATACAATTACAAAGTGAAAGGTTTGGAAATCTAAGTCTCACTCACTTACTCAGAGGAAATGACATGGTCCTTGATAAAGAAATGGTGATTGAATTGAGGCACATACTGAAATATAATTCTGGGGCTCTGGGAAAGTAAAATGGACAGCATGGTTAGTATGGAATAAAGTTCCTGTAGTGCATTAAAGAATGTTTTAACCATTTTCTGGGAATTGAAGGGAGTCCTGAATAGGCAGTTTGAGACTGATGATGATGATAATGACGATGAAGCATCCTTTATAAATACAACAGATGAAAGGATTTGTCATTTTTTTTTAAGATTTTATTTATTTGAGAGAGAGAGTGAGAGAGAGAGCACAAGAGCGAAGAGGAAGAGGAAGAAGCAGACTCCCCGCTGAGCAGGGAGCCGGACCGGGATCATGACCGGAGCTGAAGGCAGATACTCAACCGACTGAGCCACCCAGGCACCCCTAGATTTGTCATTTTAAATCCACATAATAGTAAATACAAGCAAGACTCTTCCTGTTAAGATTTCTTAAATTAAAGGGCAGGATAAAATGCCACGGGGTTTAATATCAGTAAGTTGGGGTTTGATCTCTAGCTTCCAGTTATTATCATGAACCGTAAGTAAGTCACTTAACTGTCTTCAGTTCGAGTTTCTTCGTCTAAAAAAAAGCAAACAAACAAAAACCCAGGGAAACCGGAGGGTCGATGTAGCAATGCATCTGAAAGCATTCTGTAAATCAGAGTGCTGCACAAATGCTAGTCTATTATAACGGAATTCAGCACTCCGTCCCAGGGGAGTTAGGAATTTCCTGTTTGGACCCACCTGCACTGGAGACTTCTGAAAAAGATGCTTCTCGTGGCATGCCATTTGAGCTCTGTGAGCATCCCTTGCAGAATAAAACTTGATGATGCCATAGAAACCAGGACGGGCCACTGCAGCGTTTGGGAAGACTCGGAGCGAATACAGAAGGTCCAACTGGGAGAATACTGTGAACAGAGAATGCTGTGGGGTGGTCCCACGCCAAGTAAGTGCATGAAATTTCACGCCCAGAAACCAAAACTGCCCGTTCCCTTATATTCCCTAAACCCTTCTGCACATACAACCCCAAGCTCTTCTCATTTCATGAACAGGTCTCCCTCTGAAATCTTAGGATTCGAGAAGCATTAGAAGGCAACACGTGCTGGCTGTTGAGAGTTACCTCTCAGAACTCTGTGGGGGCTGACAGACTGCTGAGGTCCCCTCCAGAACTAAGATTCCTCACGGCGGAGACTACGAGGCGCGTGAGGCTAAGGCCAGACTCCAGGGCTCCCAGTCACGGGGGCGGGGGGGCACACGGCGTTCTCCATCCCTCCCTCCCTCCTGACTGGGCTCACATGCAAAGCCTCGGCCGTGGGCCCAGAACTCAGCTCCCACACCAGCAAGGTTTTGTCGCTTTCGCTGGGAACTGCAAACGAGACCACCTCCGCCATCCTACCACCACTGCGCATGCGCGGCTAAGGTTCAAGCGGCAGTGCGCCTGCGCAAGGCGGGCCCGCGCTTTTTTAAAAAGGTCTCGTGCGAGGGGCGGGGCCAGCCCCGCGGGGGTGGGGCGAGGGCTGTTCCCAGTCCTCTCCCTGGCCCCTCCCACTCGGGGCGGGTCTCTGACTACTTCCCCTCCAGCAGCCCCACCACATCAAAGTCGTGTTTAGTGCTGCTTTTTTTTTTTTTTTTTTTTAAAAACATCTCCTGAGGTTTCCAAACAATGGTCTTCAGACTGGTGCTGGTCTGTTAGGAAGTTTTCACCAGTCCTTGGAAAAACAAGAAAAGGATAATATAATCAGGGTTTAAAATTTTTTTTCATAAAACAAAATCTATTCCATTTTACTATGCTACAAATATGACCTTCATTTTTCTTTCTTTTTTAATTTCTTTTTTATTTTTTTACTTTTAAAATATTTTATTTGAGAAAGCAAGAGAGAGAGAGAGCGCGCGCGCACAAGCTGGGGGGAGGGGTAGAAGGAGAAGCAGACTCCCCGCTGAGCAGGGAGCCTGATGGGGAACTCCATCCCAGGAGCCCCCAAGATCATGACCTGAGCCCAAGGCAGACACTTAACCAACTGAGCCACCCAGGCACTCCATGACGTTCATTTTTCATGTTAAAAATTGTTTTACAATAGTTGTTTTGATTAATACTCTTACTTGGGTATTAAAATAAAAAGTTAGGAATTTTAACATGGGTTAACTTTTTTGACGTTTTAGTGGTCTGTGAAATCCAAAAGTCAAGGCTCAGAAGTAGGGACATCAGTGGCCCAAGTGGGACAGTTTAGTCAAACGGTACTGATGGTAGCTATGTGCAAGACATTTCTCCAACGGCCCCTTTTCTGTTTTGCATTGTCCTTCTGCAGGTTTTTCTCCACATCAGCACCTTCAGATCCCAAACAGCGATGCCTTTTTTTTTTTAACATCTAGATTTTAGCCCATTCTCTGAAACCACCCAAATCATTGGCACCTGGCACCATCTATCAGCCCCAACAGCACTTTCTCCACCTCAATATACAAGACCCTTAGCTCCACCCATTACCTACTTCTGAACTTTCTCTTTTACTCTGAAAGTAGTTGGCTTGGAGGAATAACTGGGATCCTGATGCTGTTTCAAACCAAAAATTGTAGATTTTATTACCCATTTCATTATCCGTTGTATTCATTGTATGTATCCACTCATTGTACCCATTAATTGTGTATGTCTCTGGGTAGATTATGAACACCTCAGGAACAATAGTTATGGTTTATTTTCCTTCTTCTAGTACCTACCACACTCCTACTAGATTAGGTACTCCAATATATGTGGAATTAAAAATGAATAAATCAACACATTCTTTGCACAAGGAATGCTTTAATAATTCCCCAAATATAACAACTTCTTCATTGTGGTCCTCTTGGTTTGCAATGACAGTCAGGAACCAGAAGGTCTGGGCCTAGATGGGTGCAAGGAGGAAGCCCGAGAAAACCATTTATTCCTGGGGCTCTGGTCAGTTTTATTTGTAAATGGGAAGGAAAGAAAATAACATGAAGTGGAGGCAAGAGGAAGAGGAGATGAAGAATTCCCGAGTGAGAAGAGGAGCTCTGAAATGACTCCACAGCAGCCCTTCCCCCGTCTCATCCCAAGAAACATCCTGTCATCCAGTAGGAGAGGGGCCGGCCTGCACAGTGCAACCTCCACGCTACCCTGAGGAGAGAAAGATTGGTTCTTGCTTTACCGCTTAGTAAGCTCCTTCTCCACATACATGGCCCAACTCTTAGTGAGTCTCTTAGGCAGAGCAGTGCTCAGAACCTCCTTCATTCCTAGCTTTCTGGTCTGTCCCCCTGTGGCCCCTCTGATTCTTCCTTTAAATTTCCTTATCTCTGGTGTTTGTCCGCTTCCCCCATTCAGTATGCTTCCACATTTTCAAATCCTATCTCCCTCTGAAGTGGGAGAGCACCATTTTACGAGGCTGAGAGTTCCTAAATAAATAAAAAGATAAATAAATAATCAATCAATCAATCTCAGGCACAACCATTGACTCTCCCTCCAGAAAGGGTCAGCCCTAATAGTCATCAGTGTCCCTTCTGCTTGGTATTTCTAGAGTAGGCAAGGCACTTGACTCCTCCATCCCCACAGACGCCTAGAGAGACAGCCTAGAGAGGACTAGAAAGGGTCTAGTCCTTGCCTAGTGTGCCTTTCTCTGTCACTACATCCTTCCTGGGGCTCTGCCCGCTAACGTAGTCCCACAGTGTCCTCCTCACCAGTTCTTCATCCCCCCTGCTCTGGACACAATCTTTTTTGCACAGCTGATGGTTGAGAGAAGATTGGGGCTCAGTAGGTCTGAAAGGGAGAGAGAGAGAGTACCTGTAAGAACACAGAGGACAGTCCCAAAGACTGAGGCAGACATGGCTGTCCCTGCGCTGGCATGCGCCACCTGGGGGCTGAGTACTTCCAGATTAAGCAAGGCCTCCCTTCCAGAGGCCCATTTAGACATCCCTACAATGGCGGTCGGGGGTGTTGGGGGTTGGGGCAGGAGGGGCAGGACAACTGTTTATCACCATACTTCCTAACTAGGGTAGATGGTGGTTCAGCCCACGTTTGAGGATTTCTAGGGAAAGGAAATGTCAAAACAGGCAGCACAGAGACCAAGGTAAATCTTGCCTGATGAGGGAGGCTCTTCAGGTGAAGAGTCCAGGGATATTAATCAGAGTATGAAGGAGGGGGAGAAGGTCCAAGTCATGGACCTATGGAGCCTCCTGGAGTGGCTTTGAGGTGGGGAATTTGCACTTGGCCTTTAATCAGATCATTAGCCAAAGTTAGTACTTGATGGTTAGAGCTGAGCCTTCAGGGCCACCAGCCTGGCATTCAGCACCGGCTCTATGAGCCTCAGTTTGCTCATCTGTAACATGGGCACCAAAATAATTTCCATTGCATGAAAAGCTGGGTGAAATGGACTCCTTGGGCTGTCTCTCTGGGGATATTGCCAGGCTTTGAGTGGGAAGAGAAGTCCTGTGAGTAGAGCCTGGTCCTCTCTCTCACCTCTCCCACCCTGGGGCCCTGGCCAGACCTTGACAGTCCTCGTGGCAGATGTCCTCTGAGTGACTTCGGTAATCATTGCACCAGTAGTGGCTGTTGATCTGGAAGATTCCATAGTCAAAGCTGCCGTCTGCATTTTCATTTACCTTTGATATGTTGAATTTGCTTTCCACAAAAGCCAGACACAGCCCTTTGAACAGGGAGAAGAGGGTTTTCAGAGGGTGCCGAGCTGAGGGAGGAGGGGGATGGAGGAGAGAGGGAGATCAGGAAGGAGAAGAAAGGAACAAGGCCTAAGAGGCTGGATGGGGCAAGTGGGCTAGAAACACCCATGTGCTTGTCCCCTCACCCTTTGTCCAACCCACCCGCCCCTCAGTACAACCACTCATCACCTATCTGTCCATCCATGCTTCCTGCACCTAATGATCACCTACTGTGTGCCAGGAACTGTGCAAAGCCCAGTGCCAGACATTTAGCTGGGTCAAATGTCGATGCTGCGTTCAAGGGGCCTATAGTAGGAGGATGAAGATACATACCTTAAAAAGCCACAGGACAAGATAAGGGGAGAAGGATAGCACAAGAGCGGTGTGCACAAATTCTGGGCGAAAGGGAATTATCCTTACCACGGAGTAGGATGAAGACTTTGCACTGCCTGCTCCCTCTGCCTGGAATGCTCTTCCCCAGACATTTGGGTGACCAGTGCTGCTCAATGTCACCTCTTCGACTTCCCCTTCTAGGACAACATTGCCTATCACTGCCCTGGCTTTATTCTTCTGCATAACCTTTATCATATATAGTTGTGTGTGTGCTTCTTGCTTGCCTCTTCCCCTAGAATGTGAACACTGTGGAGGAAGGGGCTTTGTTGATGTCTCTATCCCCAGCATTGAAAATAGTTCCCGGTACATAATAAGTGCTCAGTTAATAATTGTGGACCAAGGGGCGCCTGGGTGGCTCAGTCGTTAAGCGTCTGCCTTCGGCTCAGGTCATGATCCCAGGGTCCTGGGACCGAACCCCGCATCGGGCTCCCTGCTCCGCGGGAAGCCTGCTTCTCCCTCTCCCATTCCCCCTGCTTGTATTCCCTCTCTCGCTGTGTCTCTGTCAAATAAATAAATAAAATCTTAAAAAAAAAAATTGTGGACCGAATATGGAATGTTGGGAAGGGCTTCTTGGGGAGGGCTGCTTTTTGAACTTGGCTTTGAAAGATGAATGACAGAGAGAAAGACGGCCACCTAGGGCATGACCAGAGGAGGAGGAGAAATGGGGGAGGGGGGAGTGTGAGAAGCAGCACTCACAGTCAGTGAGGGAGTAGCCCTCAAACCCATCCAAGTCCTCCTTGTACAGCACCCTGGCCAAGTCACAGCGATTGATGAGGCTGGCCTGACTTATGGCAATGAGGCAGCTGACCAAGGACATGAGTAGCGTCCCCATCATCTTTGGAGGGGAGAAGGTGCTGTCGAGGGTCCGTGGTTCTGAGGCTCTCCCAGATGTGCCGCTGGTCTTCTCTGAGTGCCTGAGGAATCTGGAGAGAGCAGCCATATGTCCTCGCTCACACAGAGCTCCCCACCTGGCTATTTCTCTTTCCTCTCATTTATTATTGTATACTTGTTTATTACAGAAACCTTTAAATATTTACAAAATAAGAGAGAATAGTATCATGAATCTTCATGTACCCATTGCCCAGTGTCAACATCGAAAAACCAAGGCTGATCCCCTTCCATCTATAGATCTTCACCCCTTTTAGCTATTCTCACTCTTGTAATGGGCACCTAGCTGTGGGCAGTATTTGGGTACAGTGTGGGGGGAGAGGATGGCAAAGGAGATTAATGAGAACTGCACTTCACTGGTGTTTGTGTGTGTGGATTTGAGCATGTGCTTGCAGGGGAAGGGCTAGGACACTGCACGGTGAACTCCCCCCAACCCCACACCCCCAGATACACGACACATGACTTTTCCCAAGGGCATACCCTTCCTTGTGCAAGTCCTAGGAAGCTGTTTATGGGTTCTACACTTTGATTTCCACTCAAAGGTGCATATCA